TATATATATATATATATATATATATATATATATATATATATATATGCTGCATGAACGCGCGAGCCATTAATCACTAAGAACTCTATTAACCCGACCGATCACCCCTTGGCATGTGCAGCAGCTGAAGGAGGCATTCGAGCAAAATTCGGTGTTAAGTTTCACTTACGAGATGGAGAGTGATGGGAGGCTGCCCTTTCTAGATGTAACAGTCACGGAAAGGAATGGTGGCTTCCACACTGCAGTCTACACTAAGGAAATATACATAAGAATGTGCCTCAATGCCAATAGTGACTGCCCAGACAGGTACAAGAGAAGTGTTGTCAATGCTTACGTCGACCGGGCTTTCGGCCACAGCTCAGAATGGAAGCACGTCGATGAAGAACTCTGTAGGGTAAGGCAGGTCCTAGTTAACAATGGCTTCTCTAACGGTTATGTTGAAGATGTCATAAAAAGAAAGGTGAAACGCCATGCAACCTCTGAAGAGTCAACTAACACAACACTTGTACCCTCTATGTGACTGTTTTGCAAGAACTTCTTTTCGATGGCTCATAAAACGGAGGAAAGTGTCCTGAAAGATATTATTAATAGGAACGTTATCCCCACAGACAAAAACCAGAAGATACAATTGACAATTTACTACAAAAACAAGAAAATGGCCAACCTACTCATGAAGAACTCTCCAGACACCAAACAGAACGCCTTGAAGGAAACCAACGTCGTCTAAGCCTTCACATGCCCGCTTGGGGACTGTCAGCCCCAAAGAGATCAGTAAATAAGCAAGACAACAACTTCTTTTTCTAGGTAATTAACAATGCACAAACAACAGGGCTCCATCAAGGAACATATAATCTCCTCACACAACCAGACCATCACCAGAGAAATCTTAACAAGCAAACACAGAAATCATCGATAGATACAGCAATAGGAGACTCGACATCAGCGAGGCCCTACACATCAAAAAGTCAATACCAGAAATCACCAGCCAATTAACTCATAACTATATTCTACCCACTTCAAGACCCCGAACCAACATAAAAGCATCAAAATCAATATAGCAATACAGAAGCAGCAAATATGCAATATACCCATTGTTTCGTGTTCTGTCTTTTGTCACCTCACCCAAAAACGAATATAAGCATGAAATGATGTGTATAAAAATCTGTCTTTGAAAATGTGAGAAGTCCTTGCGAAACGCTTTTAGGTGTCCGACCATAAATAAAGTATGAAAATGAGCCTCGGAGAGTTAATTTTTCAACTACCCCACGACAGTGAAGAAAAACATAACAAATATTGAGACGATTTGTGTTAGAATCATTAATCTTACCCTTTCCGTCATATACATATATATATAATATATATAATATATATATATATATATATATATATATATATATATATATATACAGTATATATATATATATATATATATATATATATATATATATATATATAGGTTAGGTATAGACGAAAAAAACATTAATTCATGAAAACTTGGCTTATTAGGCAAAATCATAAACCTGAATGGTCCCCAGGCTGTAATTTTAAATACTCTGGTACGATGGTATAGTATTTAAAAATACAGCCTGGAGGACCCTTCGGGTTTATCATTTGATATTGCATGTCCCATGGCCTAAACCTGAACTAGATTAAATATTTGACCACATAACCCGAATGCACCTGGACAAGGGGGTTGAATGAGAAATAAAACTCTCCCTTGCTTTTGAGGTGTTTAGCATGAATCTTCTCTTTGTATTTATTATGTTCTTCAATTGGGAAGGAAATAGAAAATTAACTTACCAAATATAATTTTACAGTTTTATTATGGCATAACACTAAGAGATGCGTTTCTTTCACCAGTCAACATTGTCAAAGGCAGAGTATATTACTTATACTCTGTGATTACATATATGTATATTACTGTAATTACATATATGTATATTACAAAGGGCAGAGTGTGATTACAATCAAGATTGATTGATTGATGAAGAATAAGGCACCCAAGAGATGGCACGGGCATGAGTAGCTCCTAATACAATGTTGCTGGTGCAACCAAATATATAACCGATAATGAGGTGAGGTAAAGTGTCACACCTCCAATACTCCAACTGCAGCTTACCCATCTCTTATGTTCCATGTTCCAATGTTATCTTGGTTATCTTGAGATGATTTCGAGGCTTTAGTGTCCCCGCGGCCCGGTCCTCGACCAGGTTAGAAAATGTTGGCTAGAAAAGAATGTTGGATGTTCAGTTTTCGTCTCAAAGATGGTAAATGTTAGCTGGCTGTTGGTAGTTAGGTGAGTTTGTTTGATGTGTAGTGCTTCGCCGATGTCCAATCCTCTTCTGTCCTTGTATCTGTCGATTACTTCATTGTTGTTTGTCAGTATATCTCTATATTGATCTGGTTGTGTGTTGAGATCATATGTTCATATGCAAGACCTAACCAAAGAACATAATCTCAACACACAACCAGATCATCACCAGCGATACCTTGACAGACTAGAACTATTAATAATAGTAGCAATAATAATAGTAGGAATACCAATAGCAGCAGCAACAGTAATTCGAGTATAACTATATTGACTACTCGCCTATAGAACACATTGGTCTTCTTTCCCCCCTTGATATTCGTATATAAAACTATAGATCATTAAAACTTATAACTTTTTGTATAAATAAATCAATTGTTTTATTCTAAATTCGTACAGTTGTTCTATCTTTATTTCCAATTTTCTCTGAATTATCTTGAATAACATATATTGGCAAGCGTACTCAGTAAATATCGAAAACGATAAAAATACTTAAGTCAGAACAAAATCATAGTAATGGGAGTCAGTATAAACACAAAATAATATGCATAATAAATCACGTAAATATAAGCAATTTCTTTATCTGATATGCAAATGACCCATAATAAAGAATATGCAAATTAAGTTCACACGTTGTATAACATGAACATTTTAACATCGGGTAGGAACAATAAGACCTAATCGAGGGCAATATCAGGACCTCTTATTCAATCAGGTCAACCCCCCAAGGAATGTCGAATTCGGCGATTAAACCCCACGAGGTTCATAAATAAGGTGTGAGGAACGGGCTGGAGTGACGGCGGTGGCTGCGTCTGGTGGAGGCGAACGAGGCATTATATAAACAAAGGGTCGACCGGATCCGCCACGGTGTAGGTACAGTGGAAACAGAACGCTTCCAAACCCTGTAATCATGCCTAACCACACGATCCTCAACCCGACACCCTCCTGGGAAATCACAGCCCCTCACAATCCTGGCGTCCCACTGATGCGCGTTGACCTAACTCCCCGCTGATGTAAGAAACCCATACTTTTGCATTTCCATATAAAAGATTGGTAGCGCCCGAGGCTTACAAATGATAGGGCACGGGAGTGTATCTGGCCCGAGCGGAGAGCCGTCCAGTCACCGAGCCTGCTTCGTATCGCTGGCCATCGTTGTGTTTTCAGAGCATTTGGGAGGCGCTGAGGTATGAATTATTTGATTAATAATGGCAATTTATAGTTCCATGGAGTATTCAGACGAGGTGCGTTTGATGGAGATTGGCTCTATAATTATGGTAGTGTCAGGAGGAGTGTGATATGCAGGCGGGGGAGGCGATCTGATGATATAAATAATAATTAATATGTAAAAGGCCAGGCCGCTTATGTTTCACCCACACTGCGGCCTCGCCGACAGAATGCAGCAAAAAAGTTAATAGTAGTCATTTGCCTGGATGAGTCCTCCAAACAACATTACCCATGATCATCATAATCACCCCCCAGATGCCCACAAACCCCCTTACTCCTCCACCATCCCTCCCATCTCTCGCTACCCCCATTTCCACCCCTCCAAATCATCCCCCTCATCCTTCTCCCCTTCTCATCCTTCATCTTGCCACCACACTCCTCCTCTCCCTCTTAACTTCACTTCCAGTCTTTCTGCTCTTTATCACAGCTCTTCCTCGGCTTTTCTCTTTCTTTCCCGATAAAGTGGGTTTATTTTAATTATTACTTTTCCTTCTATTTAAATTGTATTTTGTGTTTACCTGAGGCTATGTTCTCTCTCCTGTCTGGTGCTTCTTCAATATTCGTTAATATGAGAAGACCGACACGCACGCATGCACGCACACACAGAGCTACGAAGAAAGATTAGGGAACTGGACCTCGCCACAATGAAGGAAAATAGGAATGAGGCAGACATGATAAAGACATACAAAATCATAAGGGGACTTTTACCAAATAGAGAAGCAATGTTCAAAGTGAGGAACAGTAGAATGTAGTTACATGAAAGATGCACATTTAAATGAGTAACAAATTTCAGAGGGCCCTTTTTTTAATTCGATACACAATTTAAATTGTTAATATGATAAGAAAAACGAGAGGAAAAGCCAGGCATGCCCATGCCCATGTTATGTTGAATTCATCTAGGTGAGAACTCTCATACAAACCCTACCTTTCAATTCATACGTCATGATTCAACATTATTAAACCCCTCGAGAATCTGCAAGCGAGAGATATACAAAAACGTTAAATCCCACAATATTGATTATGGAACATTTAAAATAATGGTTCGATAGATACTTGTTACAGAAAATGTCTTTTAAGACCGAAATATAACAAATGTTTGAATGTAGTTTAGAACCGACCGAAAGAACCTTGACCAAAACTTCAAACGTTTTGACACAAGCAATATTAGATTGAAAATAACTGCCCAAGAAAATGTGAATGTGACACTGAGTAGACAATACACTTTCGTTTAACATGCCTACATATACCCCTTAAGGCACCTTTTCAAACCGGAGTTTCTGACCTTCAAGTGACCTTGACAATAACATGAAATATTAAGGAATGAAAACTAAATGTCAGTACAGGATGATACTTGCTACAAGTCTCGAGCAATCTTTATTCTCAAATTGTACAGGAAGATGCAACCCCCAGCCGCACTTCCATTTTTGCAGCCTCCAAACACAGCTCACAAACGCAAGCCAACAAACATACACTACTTCCAAGCATACTTCACCCACATGTTCTGTTGCAGCACACTGCCCATGTTCTGTTGCAGCACACTGCCCATGTTCTGTTGCAGCACACTGCCCATGTTCTGTTGCACCACACCACCCATGTTCTGTTGCAGCACACTGCCCATGTTCTGTTGCAGCACACCACCCATGTTCTGTTGCAGCACACTGCCCATGTTCTGTTGCACCACACCACCCATGTTCTGTTGCAGCACACTGCCCATGTTCTGTTGCAGCACACTGCCCATGTTCTGTTGCAGCACACTGCCCATGTTCTGTTGCAGCACACTGCCCATGTTCTGTTGCACCACACCACCCATGTTCTGTTGCAGCACACCACCCATGTTCTGTTGCAGCACACCACCCATGTTCTGTTGCAGCACACTGCCCATGTTCTGTTGCACCACACCACCCATGTTCTGTTGCAGCACACTGCCCATGCAGCACACCACCCATGTTCTGTTGCAGCACACTGCCCATGTTCTGTTGCACCACACTGCCCATGTTCTGTTTGCCCATGTTCTGTTGCACCACACTGCCCATGTTCTGTTGCACCACACTGCAGCACACTGCCCATGTTCTGTTGCAGCACACTGCCCATGTTCTGTTGTTGCACCACACTGCCCATGTTCTGTTGCAGCACACCGCCCATGTTCTGTTGCAGCACACTGCCCATGTTCTGTTGCAGCACACTGCCCATGTTCTGTTGCAGCACACTGCCCATGTTCTGTTGCAGCACACTGCCCATGTTCTGTTGCAGCACACTGCCCATGTTCTGTTGCAGCACACTGCCCATGTTCTGTTGCACCACACTGTCATGACCGCCACACCACCATTTCTCAATACCCAATACTCTAACTATGCAGCAAAGGCTTTTCCCATCCCATTAACCATGCAGGAGACCTCACAAAACACATCAATATAGTTACCATAAAAATAGTTTTTCTAAAACTTCCAGCAACTACAAACAAACCAGGACGTCGGTTATCACTCCCTCTACTTTGAACAACTTATCACTGAACGTCTTGAACAACACAGGTCCAGACGTTATCAGTGAAACAAGGAACTCCAGCGCATTTATGTAATGTAAAATTCTCTCCGCAACTACAAGTGTGAATATGCTCCTTTCACTTTTCATCTCTTATCTTCTCACATTAATCTCTTCACGACACTTGCAAACACCAGCACCTTTACGTATATTTCCTCTAATTTACACACCACGTCCTTACTCCCCGTCGTTTTTATACACTTCACATACCTACACTAACTCATTTGGCACGTTTGGGCTCAAGTTTATCAGGGACACATTAACAGCTCACACTGACACCACTTGACCTGCACCTTACACTGACACCGTAACCTTCACTTTATAAATGTAGCACGGTTGTGCTCCTCGTCGAGAGTTACAGCCCCGCTCCTGTGCCTGGTAAGTCAACTACGGGCTCACCATAGCCCGTGCTACTTGAAACTTTTTGTTCCAAGTAGCGAATCTTAAACAACAACAACTGCTCCTCGTCGCCTGCAGTGCTCTAGCTCTGTCACAGTTGTAGCGTGGTTGTGCTGCCTGTCCCCTTCAGTGCTCCAATTGTAACCGCTAGTTTGCAAGTGTACTGATGTTTAAATTTAATAACATTCAGATAAATTTAAAAACGTCAAAACGTCCCTGTGCTGAATACGAAAGAAACTGTCTTTACATCAAGTATGTGTACAGTATGTGTAAAGAACATTATAAGCTTTTCCAATGCCACTGGACCCTTATTTGACCTTCAAATAACATCTGTCGTCCAGATAATTTGTATACACAAAAAGAAAATTTGTTGAGTCGGAAAAACTAGGAAAGTTAACTTTCTAACAATTTTGTATAACATTGACTTATCTGCCGACATCACTTGTGTACATATTCTTGTTAACAACTAATGCCATTTATTATCACTCTAATTTTCAATATTAATATTATACTATTATTTCTTTTATCAACAATAATAAATCCGATGATATTATTGGTGGTGGTGTTGCAGTGAAAATATACTTTTTGATGAAAGGAGTAAGGTTCATGGACAGATCCAGCACGACCTCAGATACACTTTGAATATACGGAAACAATAACACAAAAATGACAAAACACATACTCGCTCTCCCGATCATTCCCGTAGGTTACTAACACGGGTTACTAACATGGGTTACTAACATGGGTTACTAACATGGGTTACTAACACGGGTTACTAACACGGGTTACTAACATGGGTTACTAACACGGGTTACTAACATGGGTTACTAACACGGGTTACTAACACGGGTTACTAACACGGGTTACTAACTTGGGTTACTAACACGGGTTACTAACATGCTGCGTAAGACACATCACTTGTTTTCCTATACAAGCAATCTCGTACCAAATTGTACACTAAATTTATTGTTGTTTGTTGTTAAAGATTCGCTACCTGGAATAAAGTTCCAAGTAGCACGGGCTATGGTGAGCCCGTAGTGTCTTATTTTTTTGTGTAATTTATTGTGTTATCGTGATTTAACCACTTACTTTCTTCGTTTAATATAGGGAAGTTATAGCAAAATGCAAACTGTCAAGTCTGTTAAAAACAACACCGAAGGATATTTTCTAATAAACATCAAGTAAAAGTTAAACAAAAATCTTCTGGTAAACCTGTTTATGATCGAGTAGGTGAATTTCAGTATACAAAAAAATCCCATTAACATGACGTATCAATGAGAAAATCAGTAGGAGGGAAGGGAGGAAATTATCAGGGAAAAGCACCAAACCATTACGACTATACAGCACTTGAAAGGGATCAGGCTAGAGGTTTGGAATGGGACGGAAGGGGGGGGGGGTGGCATGGTGGCCAACCACTTGGACGGTCGAGGATTGAACGCCGACCTGCATGAAGCGAGACCGTCGCTCTACTGTCCAGCCCAAAGGGTTTAGGAGCCATTCCTTTTGACCGTATCGCGGTGTAGTAGTTTATGGCGTGTGTATTGGACTACCCAGAGCATAGGTTCGAGTCTTTCTCGTGGCTCCTACTGATTTCCTCGTGAATCTTCAAAGTGGAATAATGACTAACCACCTCAGACGTCACATCACTCATGTGTCGTTTTCATAATAACTCCATCAGGAAGTAATAAATTTCTTATATTTTCTTGTATTTTCCACTTTCAGAGGGCTCTAAATTACAGTGTTTGACGTACATTACAGGACCGTTTCGTGCAAATGAGCAAGAGAGCACAGTACACCAATAACCACGCACGAGTCAATCGCCTTCGAAGCCTCCATTAGATAAGTAAAGAAATATGTACGCCAATAGCTATACAATTACCCACTGCTAGTGCATGATACATTATGCTATGAGGCGCCTAGTGCGCAGTAAAGTTTTATGTGGGAGTGTAATGATGCTCTCATGTTGCCTCCTCACGTTCACCCAGAGAACCTCGAATGTGAGGCAAATTTTTGTAGAATATCAGTGGATGAAGGCGACACCTATCAGAGTCAGGATGATAACGTTATTTCAGCTCTACGTGATGTTTTTGGTGATGCTGGCCTCATGACTGAGGATAAGAGTTAATAATGAGATGTTTGTGAAGGTGGCTGGTCGTGTTCTTGAGAACGATGAGAGACAACGTAGTGATGTTTCGAATATTCATATTAACATAATCACATGTTGAGTCCACTAGGCGAGTAATTAAACACACACACACACACACACACACACACACACACACACACACACACACACACACACACACACACACACACACACACAAGAATATTGTGCAAGGAGCCTATGCTATGCTTTCTAACTTCAGAATTGCATTTAAATACATGGATGGTGATATACTAAAGAAATTGTTCATGACTTTTGTTAGGCCAAAGCTAGAATATGCAGCTGTTGTGTGGTGCCCATATCTTAAGAAGCACATCAACAAACTGGAAAAGGTGCAAAAACATGCTACTAAGTGGCTCCCAGAACTGAAGGGCAAGAGCTACGAGGAGAGGTTAGAAGCATTAAATATGCCAAAACTAGAAGACAGAAGAAAAAGAGGTGATATGATCACTACGTACAAAATAGTAACAGGAATTGATAAAATCGACAGGGAAGACTTCCTGAGACCTGGAACTTCAAGAACAAGAGGTCATAGATTTAAACTAGCTAAACACAGATGCCGAAGAAATATAAGAAAATTCACCTTCGCAAATAGAGTGGTAGACGGTTGGAACAAGTTAAGTGAGAAGGTGGTGGAGGCCAAGACCGTCAGTAGTTTCAAAGCGTTATATGACAAAGAGTGCTGGGAAGACAGGACACCACGAGCGTAGCTCTCATCCTGTAACTACACTAAGGTAATTACAGTTAGGTAATTACACACACACACACACACACACACACACACACACACACATTTTTAATACAGTTATTAAACACACAATAATTGAATCAGATTTATAACTAAAAAATGCACAAAGATCTTCAAAGATCTATGCGATTAGTAGTCAAACATTCACGTAGGCACTAATGAATGTGAAAGTCAAGCTTGTGGACCTCCTGGCATGCTGTATAGTCAACCATGACTATCTATCTGGATCTGACATATTTTAAGGTGTCTAAATACTTTATCCAAAATTTGCATAGCCCCCCCATGAGTATTTATATCCTGTAATCTTGACTGAAACTTATATGTATGTCCCTTGTACTGAGAGGCAGTGAACAAGGTCAGATTTTGATAAATTGGACAAACATTTTTATTTTTAATTTTGTAAATGATCATGTTATATACTGTCTAACCAAGTATGTAGTTTTAAAACATATATGAAAGTTGAAGTCTGTAATCAGCAGCAGCATATTTACTGTTGTATTACTTGACTGAATTATTAAGCTTAGATTAAATTGCATTTAAATTTTGTATATAGAAATGTAATAATAAACTCGTTATAATAAACTCGTTATATCATATTAAAGTGAAATTCCCCCGCCCCCCCCCCCCCATGTCAGGCTTAGAAATTTGCTTCATCCCAATGACTGATATCAAGGTAACTCATTAACTCACAGGTCTGTTGCTATCATTCGCTTAAAAGTCTACTCGCTGTTAAATCAACTCATTCCCCACAATAAATTTACCTCCCTTATGATAGTTGTTGGAGCAAGTGGGACGGTGGAGAGGAGGCTAAGAAGGAGGATGAAAGGGAGTAAGAAAAAAAGAAACTGGTGCAGTAACGGAGAGAGAACAAGAGAAGATAAAAGTGATAACAGTGACAATTGAATCATGTCAAACATTTCACGTGTTTTCATGTGTGCAAGTGGACATTCTCATATTTGTGTCGTCTAGGTGGAGCTTCAGCTCTTGGTTTTCGTCTCTGAACCTTCAACAGACTCGTGTACTTTACGCTGAAAACTTTGGATTGTCGTATAAACTTATTTTTTGATTGCATGCATGCATGGAGACTGACTTCCCTGAGTGGAGAGACTGGCGTCTCTCCACTCTATTGTCTCTGTTCTCACTGTAACCCTTTGCTTCCTTCCTCAGAGATACTCTCAGACTCAGCTTAGGACTCTTACAGATGCACAACCCTGCTTCTCTAGTTTGAGTAGGAGTCTTTCATGCGAGAACATATCGAATGCCTTCTGACAGTCGAGGAATATCCAGTCTGCCCATCCCTCTCTCTCTCTCGTCTGATTTATGTCTTTTTGTTGTACAACTCCAGCAACTATTAGCTTGCTTCGGATCAGTTTCTCTAGCAACCTAGAGGTGATACTTGTTAGTGATACGGGTCTGTAGCTGACCGGTTTCTGTCTTCCCCCCTTTCTTGTAG